CCAACTCCTAACATTCTGTCATTCTGTGATCTTCAGCTCTTGTTGCAAGTTGCTGCTCACTATTTAGTAGTTGTTGAATTTCACTTCAGAGGTAGCTGCATATTAGTGGTAAGCAGCCCAGTTCTTGTAAGGTACTTTATGTTTCTTTAAGATGAAGGGTACTACGTAAATAGAAACCATCAATCTGTTTGTGTAACTCTGCTTTGTGCAGGGTGCTTGTGATTTTTTAGTCTCCACAGGTATGCAAAAAATGTGTTTTATATGTGCTTATGTTCTGTGTGAATTATCAATAAAGAATTAAGTAAACTGAAAAATAACATCTTCTGGTTGTTTACCTCTTAAATCTAGCTGTTTTATGAAACAAAATTTAAAATAATTGGATGGCTTATGAATACCTGTCAGCTAGTTAAACTTACAGGAAAAAAAGAAATTAAATAAATATGTGAAAGCTCAGAGCTTGAACATATTACTGCTGCTTTTTTTGAAATTTCATTTAAAACTCTGGAATTTGTAGTCAGTTCAACGAGAGGTTGGAGAGTGACATATATCTGAGTGAAAATGAAAGGCTTTTCTGCAAGGTTCTTCTGAGATGTGACTCTGCATCCTTAATCAACAGACATGGTTTGGTTGATGGTTGGTTGATGGTTCCACATCAATCGGATGTGGAATGCAGATATTTACTTCTTAAGGTGGTTTCATAAATAATATTTTTCCCTCCATCCTTCGGTGAGGTGCCACCAGAAGGCATAAAGACCCTGTTTGTTTCATTGGCTTTCCACCTTGGTCTCTCTGTTTTCTTCCGCTTCTGTCATCCCCTGTTTGTATGTGTTAGCTTCTTAATGTAGGAGCTGTAACCCTCCTGACCGTGTCAGTTTGTACCCTGTCAGGAACGTGTTATGTGCACATGATCTTCACACTCTTGGTAACTTCATCTGAACGTTTATAAAGCATGATTCCACACAGGAGAAACAAGATGAGCACCAGTTTAGAGAGACTGAGTAACAATGGAGCTGAGAAAATCTGGACAAGAAGTGGTACTATGCAGCAGCGCGTTCTGCTGAAACATGCAAATGTCAATTTTTTAGGTGCATTTTGGAAGGAAAAAAAGATGTCTTCAAAGAGCCAACCACAGAATTAAATACTTGTAATCATTAACAGGAAGTCTACAGGTTTTTTGATTCTTTAATGCTAAGAAAACATATGTGTTTCTTTTACACAGGAGAATCCCTTCAAGGAAAGAATTGTGGAATCTTTCTCAGAAGATGGAGAGGGGAGCCTCAGCTTCAATGATTTTGTGGATATGTTCTCTGTGCTCAGTGAAATGGCTCCCAGAGAGCTTAAAGCAATCTATGCCTTTAAGATCTATGGTACTGTATTGGGATGCTTTTGTATGCCTTTTGCTTGGACTAAATGAGTATGAGAGTTGTTGGTGATTTTTTTTTGTTGGTTTTTTTTTTTGATTGTTTAGATTTTAACACGGATAACTTCATTTGTAAATCAGACTTGGAAAAAACTCTCAATAAGCTGACCCGAGAAGAGCTGACAGCAGAAGAAATCACTCTGGTCTGTGAGAAAGTGATAGAAGAAGCTGACATGGATGGTGATGGGAAACTAGGATTTGCAGACTTTGAAAACATGATTTCCAAAGCACCAGACTTTCTCAGGTATTGTTTTAAGAAAAAGATACTCTTGCATATTTTTACGTGTGTTGTTTAGGATATCACTGTGTAGTATAATACAAGAAATGTCAGATATATGTATACCAGTGAGCTGACTAGAGATTGTTTTTACTCTAGCTCTATTTACTTTTCTAGAGTATATTCCACTTCTCTCCTAACTTGAAGATTAAGAGCGCAGTGACTTTTAATCTTCTTTTTTTTTCCTGTTTGTTTGTGTGGTTTCTTCAGGAAAATCTTTTGATCTATAATAAGCTCAAATTCGAGTTCTTAAGCCTATAGCAGGGATCCATGCTGTCTGAATAGAAATGTGTGTTAATATTGTATGCATGTTATAAATATGTGTGGAAGCACATTGGTCTTTTATGCTGAGAAGGTGAGAGCTAGAGGATGTTACAGTGGTACAATTCATGTTGGTAGCAGAAAGTAAATTATTACTTCTTCCAAATAATATGTAGATAAAACCCAGCTATCTTAAGACAGTTTTTACTGCAAGTTTCGTATTTACAGAGACCTTTTGAAAATGACAATGACTTTTTATTTTTGCCCATTAATAAAAGATAAGTAATAGCCATAACTGTAAGTTTAAGTAATACAAGAAGAGACCTTTTTTAAGAAATTACAGTGGATCAGCCAGCAAAATAAGATTGGGAGGAGTTCACATTTGAATCTTGAATCCACTTGCAGTGCAGGCTGAAGCTAAAACTCTAATTTCTCTCCAAATTTCAGTGGTCTGAGTAAACTATGTCTAATAGTAAATGCTTGATAACCTGAAAAAGTTTTTTTAATAATCTTTGTTGATATGTTTTGTTGTTAAGTTGGTCGTGTTGCTGTTGCATAGAATCATGAAATGGTTTGGGTTGGAAGGGACCTTAAAGCTCATCCAGTCCAACCCCCCTGCCATGGGCAGGGACACCTCCCACCAGACCAGGTTGCCCAAAGCCCTGTCCAGCCTGGCCTTGAGCACTGCCAGGGGGCGGGCATCCACAGCTTCCCTGGGCAACCTGTGCCAGTGTCTCACCACCCTCACAGTAAAGAATTTCTTCCTAGTATCAAGTCTAAATCTGCGCTCTTCGAGTTTAAAGCCTTTACCCGTCATTCTATCGCTACCTGCCCTTGTAAAAAGTCCCTCCCTGGCTTTCCTGTAAGACCCCTTCAGGCACTGGAAGACTGCAATAAGGTCTCTGTGGAGCCTTCTCCTCTCCAGGCTGAACAGCCCCAACTGTCTTGGTTGGTCCTCGTAAGGGAGGTGCTCCAGCCCTCTGATCATCTCTGTGGCCCTCCTCTGGGCCTGCTCCAACAGCTTGATGTCCGTTATATTGGGAGCCCCCAGAACTGGATGCAGTACTCCAGGTGGGGTGTCACAAGAGCAGAGTAGAGGAGCAGAATCACCTCCCTCGTCCTGCTGGTCACACTTGTTTTGATGCAGCCCAGGATGCGGTTGGCCTTCTGGGCTGCGAGTGCACATTGCCGGCTCATGTTGAGTTTTTCATCGACTGACACCCCCAAGTCCTTCTCATTGAGGCTGCTCTTGAGCCATTCTCCTCCCAGTCTGCATTTGTCCTTGGGATTGCCCCGACTCCGATGCAGTACCTTACACTTCATGTTGAACTTCATGAGGTTGGCATGGGCCCACCTCTCCAGCCTGTCCAGGTCCCTCTGGATGATGTCCCTTCCCTCCAGTGTGTCAACTGCACCACACAGCTCAGTGTCATCTGCAAACTTGCTGAGGGTGCACTCCATCCCGCTGTCCATGTCACCGACAAAGATGTTAAACAGTACCAGTCCTAGTACCGATCCCTGGGGAACACCACTCCTCACTGGTCTCCATTTGGACATTGAGCCGTTGACTGCAACTCTCTGAGTGTGACCATCCAGCCAATTCCTTATCCAGCGAGTGGTCCCTCCATCAGATCCACGTTTCCCCAGTTTCGTGACCAGAATGTCATGTGGGACAGTGTTGAACACTTCGCACAAGTCCAGGTAGATGATGTCAGTTGTTCCTCCCTTATCCACTGAAGCTGTAACTCCATCAGAAAGGTCACCAAACTGGTGAGGCACTGTTTTCCCTTGGTAAAGCCGTGTTGGTTACCACCAGTGACCGTATCCTCATTCTCTCTGTGCCTTAGGAAAGACTTCAGGAGGATCTGCTCCATGATCTTGCCAGGCACAGAGGTGAGACTGACTGGCCGATAGTTTCCTGGGTCTTCCTTTTTCCCCTTTTTGAAAATGGGGGTTATGTTTCCCCTTTCCCAGTCATCAGGAACTTCACCAGACTGCCACGACCTTTCAGATATGATGGACAGTAGTTTGGCAACTTCATCCACCAGTTCTCTCAGGAAACATGGATGGAAGTCATCGGGTCCCATGGACTTGTGCACCTTCAGGTTCTTTAGGTGGTCTCAAACCTGATCTTTGCTTACAGTGGGCAGATCTTTCTTCTCCCAGTCCCTACCTTTGCTTTCTGTGGCTGGGGCAGCTTGGCTAGAGGCCTTGCCTGTGAAAACCAAGACAAAGAAGTCATTGAGCTCATCCTTCTCCATGTCCCTTGTGACCAGTTCTTCCCTCTTCTTTCAGGTCCAGGAGATTAGCTGGGTCACAGGATTCAGCTCCAAAGTCCTTGGGCTTAAGAGTTCCTGATGTGGCATGACCTGAAGAAGGGTTTCCTTCTACCTTCTAGCTGAAACAGTGGTTTAGAGCCTCTGACTGTGAACTCAGCAACATGTTTTTAAACCTTTGAAGTTATATTGCAAAATGAGGGTGTTAATGGAAGAAGTCTCAGAGCTGAGAAGAGAGTGTGTAGTTTCTCTGATTTGGTTTCTGTTTCAGCCAGAGTTAACAGCTGCAGGAAAAGAAAGTGTCAAGGTCATAAGATGGTTTTTATCCAAACCACTCTATATGGAAGACTTGATACCTCTTCCTCATTCTGGTTTACTGTTCCTTTTGCCTGTAAAGGTATTTTATTTTTTGAGGACATTCTTAGTCATATTTTTGCTGTATGCAGTGCATCATAGACTGACACATTTGTTATTACTGAACTTCCTGATCTGAGCCACTTACTGTCATTTTAAAAAATACTATGTAAATGTTGCATTCTAAAGGGAGACAGTGATGTAACTTTTGGAATGGGATCCACTGAATTTTAATGCCACAGTAGGTACACCAAGGTCTGACTGAGGGTTGAAACTAAGCTGGTGTTCTCTGATAGTACCCAATGCATGCTAGCATGTGACAGAACTTGTGACATGGAACAAGACTGCAATTCCTGTAGCTGATCTCTGACCACAAAAAAACCTAGTTTCCTGTTCACTGAGTTCACTTATACTATAACAGTCTTGGGCATGTTAGCTATCCATTTAATGAGGCAGTGCTTTTTTTGATATTTCTGAATTCATCTTCAGCTCGATTAATGACGCCTCATTTTCTTCGGTGTCTTCAGCTGTAATGGTCCTCTTAAGTGATAAGCATAGGCTGTGTGCCAGCCAAACTGAAGGCAGGGCTGTGCAGTTTCACCACGTAATATGATACAGAATATGCAAAGCACAGGAAGTGTCTTAGTAGTGGATCAACAACTCTATATGCCAGTGGTAAACTTGTGCCTGAACTATCATGTTAATATTGGAAGACAAGATATCAAAACATGTTTTAATCTTAATAAAATTGTCCCTTTTGAAATCTTCAGAGATACATGGAAGAAATGCCAACCTAAGTCCAGAGACAGTAATAATTTCACTTTGTTTTGTGTATCGCCACTTTTTGTGCCCAACTGAATGCAGTCCAGACTTTTAATTCAAGGAAGCCTAAGTGTCTATTGATTTATACTTTCAACTCATGAGCAGCTGTGAAAATTAGACAGGAACTGAAACAATAGCCACTTTTGAAAGTGATTGCCAGTGAGCAGTTGGAGATGCTGAGTAACTGCAGTTTTCAGAGACTTTGCTGTGAAGCTGTGAGCAATCAGCATTTCTGATCCTATAATACCATACTGGCACCTGGTATGTTATCCTTTGGAAAATGCTGACTGATTAACCAGGCTCTATATTACTTTTATTTGTAGTAAAGGTTTTCTTATTCTGTTCTTTGACTTCCCCCCTACCCAAAGCCATTCTTCATGTTGTAAGAGTAGGAAATTTAGGATGCAAGGCAGTTAGGCTTTATCCCTGGCTCTGCTATTGCTCAAGCAGGTGATCTCTGCTAAGTCATAGATAATTTTGTTTTCTCTGCTCTGTTACATGGGATCAGTGTTTATCTGACTTTTAAAAGACACTGAGAGCTCTTTTAATATGAACTATCCAACTGTAAAATCTTATCATCGTGTTAAAGTGAGTTATGAAAGTACTGAGGAGGAATACCTTCTTTACCCTGTTTCTGGAAAACCTTTGAAAGCCAGATTCCTGCAACAATGTACTGCTTTTTAAGTACTTTTTTCACACAGCTCAATATGTTGGTTTTTTAAAAGCTTTTTAATGCATGCTATCATGCATAATTAATATATATAGCAGGCATTAATTTTGGCACCATGATCCAGGATTTGACCTGGTATGTGCTATAGTTCATCCACTGTACGTTGACTGAGTTTCCCTATCTCATCACTCGTTTCTCAGACCTTTACTTAATGACCCTGCATAGGTTTCATCTCCTGCAGACAGCCCTTGTAAGCTTTATATGCTGTCAAGCAAATGAAGATGCAGTGAAGTCTGTTGCTTGATTTGCACTGCTGTGGTTGAGGACTTTTTTTAAGACTAGAAGAAAACATTGCTAATTGTTCACCAGAGAAGAAGATCTATACCTTTTAGGTGTGTTATGCCGGAAGCTTGAGTAAGCCATAAATGATGATGACAGTTGCTAGTCCAGGAAATTTGATCCTAGTAGGCTTATTTTACTCAAAATTGCTGTCACTGGGAGGCTGCTTGTGGTTTAATGGAAGCATTAGCACTCTGAACTGGCACCATTTAAGTGTTCTGTTCTACAAGACTGGTTACATTTTCTGCAGGAAATTGTTTTATAAATCATCCTGAAAGTTTAAGCTTATTTGTGTGCCTGAGAGTGAAACTTACTATAACAATTTGAAATGGAGTTTGAGAAGACTGTGGCATTAGTAACACCTGAGAGCTGCCAAAACTAGATGGAGAAACAGCAGGTTAAACAAAAAGCTGTCACTGGAAATGCAGTATTTCTGAAACCTGTGCAGGCCTTTACCCATGTAGCAGTTGGTGTCCTGACTCCAGTCCTACCTAAAGCTGAAGTAACAAAAGCTCTCTTATAGGAAATGTGCATCTCGTAAGACCTAAAATGCAGGTTATCCAGTTCTCAAGGACTACAATTAGAGTTAGTGACAAATTGGCAAGAGAACAATTGAAGGAAATAATTTTCTCAGTATTTTTCAGAATATTTCAGCTGCTGCTTAGTAAAAAGACCAAAATGACACTCTGATTAAAATAGAAAAATATTCCAATAGATTTCCAGTGAAGTGGATTTGGATATATTCTGTAAAAGAGTTATGCCTGAAATGTTTTCACATACAATACTGTGGATTTTTTAGTTCCTATATATTGCGTATATGTGACTTAAATTGGGATTAATAATCTTGACTGATTTGAGTCAAGAAAGAAAGAAACATGCAGTTTATACTCTTGTGCCACTGAACAGAGATTACTACCTAGAGAGAGTGAGCTTTCAGCATGCCCTCTGTAAATTGTCTTTTACTGTCCTGCTAAGATGCCCAGAAGTTCTTCTGAAAACTGGTGACAGTAGTAAGGCATGCTGTGTGCCTGTATCATAGTGCAAATAGAAAGAAGATAACAACCAGGATATCTTGGTCCTAGCAAGAGAAAAAACAGATTTACCTGCCTAATTTGATTTGTTTAGGAACCCAAATGCTGTGCCATAGCACAACTGCAATTGGGAAGCATTTAGCTCTGCTGTGTATTCAAGAAAGAGGACAGTTTATACTTGATTTAATCCAGTGCTGAGCTTGGCCGCCTGAGCTGACGTTGTCAGAAGATGGAAATTTCTCCCAGAATGTTTAAAACTTCCTGAGAGTGTGAGAGAAGAGATTCAGATTCATTACACAGAACCTTCCTTTTGGTACTTTGAGGAATATGTTGCACATAATGACAAATCTGTTTTATATCTGTTAACCTTTTTCTTTCCTTTGCAGTACTTTCCACATAAGAATCTAAAGATGTATCGGTGAGCCAGTGTTGTCAGAAATGACTTGCCAGTCCAGCCTTTCTGAATCTCAGGCACTTCGGGGGCTTTTGTCCTCTAAATATGGCTTCTTAACACTCAGCAGAAATTACTGAAATAATTCTCATCCTCAAAGAGACAGAAGCATGATGTGATCAATCTACAGGATATTTGGAACAGTCACATTTTTATCTTCACTGCTGCCCAAGCACTCTGGCAAAGATGGTTGGTTGTTGGGTTGTGGTTTTTCCTGTTTGTTTGGGGTTTTTTTCTTTTTCTTTTCTTTTTTTTCTTAACACTTAGAATGTTATTAAAGCTATTTCCACCTAGTTTTTATATTTATGAATATTTAATACTGCTCTTAAAAGCAAAAAAAAAAGTTTGACAGGAAGATTAGCTTTAGTGATGTTTCCAAGAGTATTTGAAAGAAAGCACGGGCCTTAAATAATGAGATGCCTCTATCACTGTGTTGTGCAGCTGGGGATCTTGCATGGAAATTACCTTAGGTGAAAGAACTGCAGTCAAGATCAAGCTCCCAGTGTTGAAGACAACCACATCCCAGGTTTGCCTTTCAGTCACTGACATGGCAAATGGGTTTGGTGCTTACCTTCAACCAATACTTTATAAATGGTCATGTCCTTATGAAACTTGAAATATTTGCCTTTTGTATGTAACTGCATATATGATTCATTTCTTCCCAAGATAAACGTTAAAACTGTGTCCTTATTCTCAAAAGGGGTCTTGCATTTTACTCATTCTATGGGCTGACAATGTTAAATGGAAGAATATAATCATCTGTAACTCATGAAGAAGTTAAAGAAGCACAGAACTATTACCAAGGACATGAAAAGACATTTTCTTTCTAAACCAGCTATGCAATCTTTCCCATAAAATGCATGAATGCAGCTCTATATTTCTCTTCCCTCTTCAGCTGGAAATCAGCTAGATTTATTTTTTCTTAATTCCAGTATTGTTTAGGTACTGGGGCCTGAAGACAATCATATGTGTATTACTGTTCTAACAGTCAATAGAAGGGCTCTGTCACTTACATGGCTTCTGTATCAAAGTCATTACAATTAAAACTTTTGATGCATTCTGTTGTGCTTTGAGGATTTTTGGGCTAAGCAGATACTAATTTCATTTATGGTCATTATTCCAATTACTGTAAAGTTAAACCTTTCAAAGGATGAAATGTGTTATTCTTATTGAAAAAGTTGTTAAAGTAAAGAAATGAGTCTTTTTGCCACTTCTGCAGGGATGATGGTGCTTATCTGCCTCGGAACCTCTTGTGTATGGTGAGCTTGCAATGTAGCTTGCTGTTCAAATTTACATGGTGTGCATCAAGAAGAAATGCATACCTAGCAGGACAGTTGTACATTAAACTTGTCAATGGAAATTTTGATAATCAAGGTATGCAGGGCAGACTTGCCTAAGGTAGCATAGTGAAAATGAAACTTGTTAGTAATAACATTTATTTTAAAAATATTTTTAGAGTGATAATATTCAGTGATATTTATAGCATTTTAATGCTTTCTCCTACTGGTTTCTGTTTAGCTAAAGGAATTAGAACCTGAATTATCTTTGATTTACTTACCTTGCTCATTAAAATGAGCACAAAAAAAATCCTGATACTCAGTTGTGATTGAGAAAGAATTGATTCAAACTTTGATCTTTTAAATTTTGAGCAGATTAAGTTAGATATATGGGTTGATTCAAATGGTTTGCAAGATCTTGGCATTAAGAGTGATTATGTTAAAATTGCTTCTTGTTTATTGAAATGCCAGCTGAATAGCTTTTTATTTCTTTTAAGACACACATTTAATCTTGAAATCCTTGTGGGATGTGTTTTTCTGTCATTATTAGTATGTATTGTAAAATACCAAGTTGCAAGAGTCTGGATCGGATTATTCAGACAAAACGGATCAGGTGCTGATGACGTAGGTCAGTTCACTTTGACATCAGTCTTCTTTTTCTGTGTTTTAGAATTTCTACTAGCTAAAATTCTTTCCTTCCTGACATTTTGTGTTATCCCACAACTAGATCATCCTCCCCATGTAAAGGAAGATCTCAGTTCCCTTGAAATGTTCTCAGTGTGTTTTTTTCCTCTATGCCCACCCTGACCTGAGTGTCACAAAGCAGTTGAAGACGTGCTTGGGCTTGCAGTCAGGTGTTTAACCCTGGAGTCATCCATCTGAGCTGAGAAACAAAGAGAATAAGAAATGGGGAGTACCCTGTGAAGGAGTACTCCTGTGCACAGTTAAAGAAGAATCCTTGCAGAATACTGCAGATACAAATGCATGCAGTTGCCCTAACTACCTTTATTTCTTTGACTTATGTTCATCACCTGTAACAAAAACCTGAGCAACATAGCGTGTGCCTGGAGTTTGAAAGATACACACTCTAAATGCATCTGGAGCAAAATAATCCTAGCTAGCAGTCGGTAAGTTGCTACACCAACTGATGGTGAAGGTAAGGGGTAGGTTTCTAAAGCAGCTCTGTTTTTGCAGTTTCTTAATTGTCTGTAGCTGGATGTCTGTTTTACTATGGCAAGAGTATGGAGTGAATAGGAGTGCAGCACGATGCATTTCAAATTTAAATAATGTTATGAGGTAGAAAAACAGATACATTTCTGCAATAGCATTACTGGAAGAGTCTTATGAGTTCACTAGCAAGTGTTTCTTCAACAGGGCTTATTTATTCAGAAAGAACTCTCAGGCAATTTAGAAAGAAGCTGAAACACTAAAAGAGATTTAGGTTTAAAACAGTTTGGATTTGGCCTTAAAAGCAAGAGGACGTACATTTGGTGTTGCAAAAAAGGTCTTAAATATGAATGGACATTTCTGTATTTGCCTTCAAAAATGGACTGAGATAAAGGAAAACTGTGACCTAAAGCCTCTATTAAAATAGCTATACGTATGTGTGTTATCTCTAGTTTATATACACTCAAATCATCCTAGGAACGAGAAGGAGCTAGTGGAAATAAATAAATCAGTGTCAAAAAGTACTAACCAAGTTATGTATTAACACGCTTTAGTTTATAATTGTTTTAAAGAAATACCGTAAGCTGAGGTTTAAAACAGACTGCAGACCAAAATCTGGTCTTCATTACTTCCGTATTAATCTTCAGTAGCTCTGCTAACTGGAATTAGCTCCTATGTCTGTAATTGGATCTGTGTTGAGGAAAGTAGTTGGTTTTTGCTGCAGTTCTTTGTGCTCTCTCATGCCCTTTAATGTAATCTTAAAATGCTGAATGTTCTTTTTTTAGTCGGTAATTACATGTTTCTCTTCGTCAACAGACCGTGTTGGAATCTCTTGCAGTTTCTCGCAATCACGTAGAAACAATTTCCTTTTCTCCCCCAGAGCTCATTTTTGTCTCCTTGCACATGTTAGAGGCACTTCTGATACGGCATCGCCAGGTGGCACTGTACCATCACATCAGATCTTTACTTCAGTTAACTGTTTAAATTTCCCTGAAATACATGACTCTATATAGAATCTAGGATAACACAAACTACAATATGAAAACTGTGGTTAGTTACTGATTTTAAAACTCTAGATAATCACACAGGAAGTTTCATATTTGATCAAATTCATGAAGCAAAGGCTTACAAGGGGCAAAACTAAGTACTTTTGAAGCAGGTACATGAAAACTTTGATTTTCTAGAACAACTTCTGTACATGAGAATTTTTTCTTGATATATGCACTACTTGGATTGTGACCCAGTAGAATGACGGTACTCCTTTACAGTATTTTCAGCTCTGTCTCAAATGCAGATATTGTCATTTTCCGTACAATTACTCATTTCCTGTTGTGTGATGGTGGTCTCAGTAATATCAGATATTGATCAGTATAATGAGTTAATAATTTTCCCTTTCATGACCTAATATGCTTTTAATTCAACCTGTTCGGTTTTGCTGTCTTTCAGTATAATTGAATATTATTTTCCTTTTTTTTCATTGTGCATTAGTATTGCAAAAACCTCATGGGTTTTTGTTTGTAAAAATTATTATTTCCTATCCTGTCATGTGTTCTCAGGAAATATGGTGGCCACAGCTGTTGCAGGTAATAACAAACTGTTGATTTAGAGAAAGTTTTCTGTATTTTCTGTCTTATCCTTTATAAGTTATGCTAGCTCGTTTGCCTGAGAACAGTGATGAATGCTAAGTTGAAGACTTTATGGGTGATTCGTGGTGTTTATATCTTTTTCTTGGGGTGAGAAAACAAGAATGGATTAATTCAACTTTAATTATTTTAGATGTGCGTTATCTGATCCATTGAAGTTTATCTACCATAATGTTTTCTGTTAACAACTCTTATATTTGATTGCTGTGAAACATCTCCATCTTGGATGACCCATGTGTTTCATCTTCACTGGGGCTTAGGCAGACGCCTAATGTTTCACATGCAGCAAATGCACTGCTCTGATTAGAAGTGTCTCTTTGAATTACGGTCAGGCTGAGGTATGGCACCATCTGTCTTTTTACAGCGATGGAATCTCTCCTATTGCTTGTTGTTCTTTATAAAAACAGCATATTAATAAAAATGGTTTTTAATTAAAATCCCTGAAAACAGAAATGTACATTAAAAATTAAACTAATAGGTATTTTGTTGCAGAAACTGTGAAAACTCATATTCTGGAGACCTGAACAGATTGAGGTAATATTCTGAAATAAAAGAACACAAAGTAAGCTAGAGACAGAGTTTTTGGTAACAGTACATTTGTGAAATGGGAAATATTACACCTGTCAGCTTAGGATCCATAATAGATCAATTTGGGCTGAAATAATAACAGGATTAAAAAGAGTCTACAATGCTATTGCCCAGTACACCTCAGCTGAGACAGACAGTGGAATTAAATTTGGTGAGGAAGACATTAAAGATAACAAAATTACAACTATTTGTGCCCTTAGAAAGATGTGTGTTCTGAGGCAGAAGTGAAGGACATAGTGAACAGACATTCTGCCTTATTCTCTGTATCGTTTTGCAGTTATGAGTGTCTTGTAGAGATGTTAATGACACTGAGTGACTATCAGATTCTCTTTGGTAGGTAAAAGGAGGAGACTGGTCTTGGTAGAATTAAAAGACCATCATCAATGCAGATGAAAGTGCCTTTTTTAACTGGAAGTTCTGCCATTCTTCTCTTTAAAAGATGTTTTACAATCTGAACTCCAAATGAAATTCCCCACTGCCCTCTTCATTTGACTGTCTCGTTTGCAAGACCAAAGACAAGCCAAGTGCGTCAGCCTTGTATGCTTTGCTGTTGCAATGTAGATTACTCGTTCCCTCTGTTCTTTCTCAGTTAAGATTGCTCAGATTCAAATATTTTTATACATAAATCCATGACTCTTGTTAAATCACATGCATGATCTGGCACGCGT